TTCTAAACTACTTTACTGAAAACAGATACATTAAAAAGCCTTATATAATCATCTGACCACAAAAAGCATGTAGTTTAATGCAAACCTTGTGCCTTACCACAGTACACAAAAATGTGTGTAAATGTGCACTAGCAGAGCACACTGTGATCAGTCTCAGTTTTTTTTCTATGTAATATCATGTTTGGCTTTAGTTATTATTTTTTTACTTGTGCAGATTTCCAATGATTTCCAATGATGTAGCTAAGTGAACTCAGATTATGAGTACAGATGTAGAAAAAAGTAAGTCACTCAAGTAGTTTTTCAGTAAACAACTTATTTACTCTTATTTGTGTGCTTTCTTTTATTATACATTTACTAGAATTATCACTACAGTAACAGTACTTAAGTATGAATTTTCAGTACTGTTTCTACCCTTCTCGTGTTAGCTAGAAACCAACCAGAGTTATTGACCACCATGGAGCTTCCTGCTGTACAATGCTGGGCAAACCTCACCCGCATGCCGCTGACCCTCCTGTTGATGCTACGGCTGGACAGACTCAAATTATTTAATCATAGCCATTGCTTGACCTGCTTTTCCCCTTTTCTGCATTTTAATATTTTATACTAACATTAAAAACTTATTCTCAGTTCATATTGCTCTTTTGTTAGTTTGCTATTCAGCGTCGACCAGAGGATGATGGGTTCCCCTTTTGAGTCTTGGTTCCTCTCAAGGTTTCTTCATCTTGCTCTTAGGGAGTTTTTCCTTGCCTGTCTCCATTGGCTTGCTCATGCGGGCTCGGGCCTGGATTTTTCGGTAAAGCTGCTTTGCGACATCAGCTGTTGTAAAAAGCGCTATATAAATGAAGTTTGACTTTGAGGTATTAATACTAAGGTAAAATGACTCAAGTGAAAGTGAAAGCAACCCCCCCCCCCCAAAAAAAAAACAACTTGAAAGGAAGTATCAAGTCTAAAAACTACTAAATTAGTGCGCGAATTATAGAGCTGTGGTGGATCTTCTTAGTGAATTCATCATCCATCAACAGAGGATCTGAAGATTGTGTGGCTCTATTCTTCTCTTTTTGGGGTTCTTTTGGTCTAAAATAAAAAGCTAAAGATGTGACCAATCACAAAGTGCAGATGTTGTCACCAACATAACAATGACATTAAACCCAATAAAGGAGTTATTAACTAAATATGAATGGCTAAAATGTATCTGAGTAAAAAAGTAGATTCCATTACTCACTTATGTACTTGAGTAGAAGTAAAAGTGTTATGATTTGAAAACCATCAACATTTTACTTGAGTAAATGTAACTAGTTACTACCCACCTCTGGAACCAACATGGGACATGAAGTCCAAGTGAAGGCTGCAGAAGAGGAAGGAGAGACCTGGTAGATGAGGCTCCTCTTCAGTCTACACTCATGCACATTTGCGGCGGCCTGAGCAGGCTGTACAACACGTAACAGTTCACTGACATCACAGCATTGGTGGAAGCACACCACACAAACTTCAGAAACAAGTAAACATTTAATCATATGAAAACAGACTTTTGTAAAACTTTTTAACAACCAACAAAAACAATTTCAGTACAATGAAAGGAATAACTTACAGGGGAAGATGGAACATGTTTTAAGATATAAAAGATTACAATTAGAATGAGTGATAAAGTACTGTACATGACAGTATACTGTACTGTACAATGAGGTTTATCCAAATGAAAGAAACAGGGAAGCAATATCTGCCTAGCACAATACCTCACACTAATGTGTAACAGATACACACTACGCAAAAACAGTTAATCCCATAAGCCGCCTGCAGAGGCATTAAACGCTGCACACGTTCCAACTCGTGTAGACACTCACCCTCAAAGATGCAATTCCAAAATTGTTAATGTCACATTCTCCTTTTAATATTGCTACACTCAGCACTGTTTATGTGCTATTTAGGTGTTAAAAATGTACCTTGAATTATGCATCCTACTGAAAAGTTTTATCCTTAATGTTTAATCCTGAGAGGGCATGAGCTCACAAAGCACATTCCTGACTAAGTTTCAGCTTCACAAAACATAACAAATGCAGACATGTTTGGATTGACTAATGGCAGTTCCACCCAATTTTCCTAAATCTTTGTATAATTCAATCAATGCGATGGAAACAAAGTCATTCAGAGTGGTTCAGCATGAAATGCTCTGTTCTGGAGAAACCGAGAATTATTCACAGTGATGGTAATAGGAACCTGATGTCTGAAGAATTTAATGCTTCTAAAAATCCCCTCGCATAAAAGTTATTACATGAAATGATAAATACATTACATGATGCCTGAGATATTGTTTTGGAGAGATACACTATATAAGGCTAAACAGTTCCCTTGGAGCTATATTGTCAGATTTACTACTACTTACATGATGCCTGAAACATTGTTTCACAATCGTTCTGAGATAAGATTTTCACTTAAAATATAGTTTGAAAATCATTTCATGGGGAAACAAACAAACAGACCATTGTACGGCAAAATACTGCCCAAAAAAGATAAAATTCCCCAGGTTTCTATCAGCACTACTGTTTCTCTACAATGCATCATTTTACATCAAACCACCCTAAATTACAAACCCAGTTCCAAAAAAGTTGGGACAGTATGTGAAATGCAAATAAAATTTTGACCTGTATTTGAATGAAAACAGTACAAAGACATGTGTAATGTTTTATCAAATTAACTTCATTGTTTTTTGTACACTCATTCTGCAATTGATGATTAGAACATGTTCCAAAGTTGAGACAGGGCCAATGTAAGACTAGAAAAATAAATCATAAAAAAATAAAAATAAAAGATTATCTTGAGCATGTCATGCTTGGGTTTAAAAGAAAAAGACCAAGTGCTTTAAGAGAAAAAAAAAATGTGTCAAGGCTTATCATTCTGACAAAAATGTATCAGAAAAAAACCCAACAGTTTAACAATAACGTTCCTCAGCAAGTGACAAGGATTTTAGGTATTTCAACCTCTACAGTGCATAACATCATCAAAAAATGTGGGGAATTCAGATAAAACTCTTACACTGTGTGTAAGCAGCAAGGCTGAAAACCACAACTGAATGTTATAGAACCCTTGATCCCCCAGATGGCACTGCATTAAAAACCAACATGTTTCTATAATGGATATCACCATAGGGGTTCGGAAACACTTTGACAAACCATTGTCGACAAATACTGTCTGTCGCTGCATCCACAAATGCAAGTTAGGACTGTAATATGTATAGCAGAAGTCATTTGTGAACAGAGTACAGAAACACCGCCGACTTCTCTGGGCTTGAAATGCATCTGAAATGCACAATGGAAACATGTACTGTGGTCTGAAAAGTTAATCTTTCAGACTGTTTATGGAAATAATGGATGTCATGTTCTCCAAACTGAAGAAGAAAAGAACCATCCAGATTGTTATCAGCATAGAGTTCAAAAGTCGGGGTCTGTCATGGTATGGGGAAAAGGTATTAGTCGGTAATCTGCACATCTGCGAATGCACCATTAATGCTGAACACATTCTGGAACTACGTATGCTGCCTTTTAGGTGCTGTCTTTTTCAGGGATGTCATCTTGAAATAAGCATGGACAACACCAAGGCACATTCTGCATGTGTTACAACAGCAGGGCTGCATAATCAGATGCAATCATCATTCTAATCATGGAATCACTGCAGTCATTCCAATCATGGAATCAGTGCAGGTGCTAGACTGGCCTGCCTGCAGTCCTGAATCGCCTCCCATTGAAAATGTGTGCAAAATACAACAATGAATGCCCCATATGGTTGCACAGCTGAAGGAAATTACAATTTCAAAAAAGGTTTGTGTCTTCAGTCCCCAAAAGATTAAGTACTGTTAAAAGGAAAGCTGATGGAACAGTGGAAAACATGCTCCTGTTCCAACTTTTTAAAATGTGTTGCAGTCATCAAATTTTATAATAAGTGTGTATTCACAAAAACAATAAAGTTCATAAAGTGAAAATGTTTTTGTACCATTTTCAATTTAATACAATCAAATAGAATTGACTAATTACTGCTTTCTGTTTTATTGGCCAACTATTCTGGAACTGGGTTTGTACATTGTTTACATCTTAAAATACATACACATTTTGAAACATCTAATTTAACTTTTTTCTGTTAACCCAGGTTTAGAGACTTAAGCTTTAATTAATCCTGCATGTGTATGTGAGCACATGACATTGCTGAGTGGATTGTTTTTCAAAGAAGAAAAAAAAAAAAAAATCTCTCATGCAGACATAAAAGTAATTTATAAAAGGAAAAAGTTGCCACTGCCCATGTTTGCTTACTGGGTTTATGTTCTTGATATTGATGTATTATGATTTGCTTCCTATGTTATCAGCATGATTTACGCCACAAATGTTTCAAAGGGGCCCCGTCTCCATCAGAAACCTGTCCCTGATTGGTCAGAAGCTCAGCCCTGATTGGTCCAAGCGCTGTTTATGACCTGAACTCCCAAAGTTTAGGACAGGATTGCAGCATAACGTGCTATGGTGAGAGCATTGTTATAAAAGTGATCCACTCTCAAGAGACAGAAAATCTAGGGTTCTAGATTAATCTAGATTAAATTAAGCAAATAAGATGGCTAAGCCATAAATCCTGCTTCATGAGACAGACCCCTGATTTCACCTTTAAACAGTGTGGAGTTCTGGACGATAAACGTACAATACCTCTTGACTCCTACTGAAATTCTTAAAGCCGTGCTCTTTGGCCAGAGCTTGCTTACAAATGTAAAATCGGTCCATTAGCATGGTCCTGCATGAAGAAAAAGATTCCAATGTGTATCAAGTTTAATGTGTGCTTTAATAGTTAATCTTATCAGTTAAAAAAAAACAATATAGGTTATATATGTTGTAAAAAGTTTAATTTGCCCAGAAGGTGACTAAACCAACTGGCTTTTTCAAGCACAATGGTTTCAAATTTTTGAAATAAAAAAACACAACATATCTTTTTAAATGTGCAAATAAATAGTGAAACCTCCCATTAAAAGACACTAAGATGTGCAGTACACTATACATGTGCAAGTTGTATTTGACAATGAAAGTTGTCTCACGCCACAATGTCCTCCATATTTCATATTACACTAAAACATTACACAACAGCCACTTGTCACACCTTTTAAAATAACTGAAATTATGTTCTTTGCCACTGAATAAATACACATCAAGTTATGGTAAAGGAATCTGCTCAGTAAAGGTGTACTGGCTCTTGGGATTAAGGCTTTCAGTGAGTCCAGTGTCTTCAAGTAAGAAATCAATTTTAAAAACCTGCTGTTAAATCAACTTTTAGGTTTTTTTTTTCCTTTAAACAAAATCTACACTTTCATATCTGTCCTTTTGTTTTGCACTCAATGTGGTGGTTTACAATTCCAGCTGAAGGTGGTTAAGGTGGTTTGTGATCTTCCTTAGATTGCCCAGTTTGTCATGGCAGCAAATGGGTGAAGTCTATGGCAGGTAAAGCATCTAATGGCAGTAACGGCAGAAAGTTCCAGAATCTTTTTCATGTGTTTCAGCGACTCCTTTCGCTGCTCAAGATGTTGAAGTACAATTACTGAAGCGAAGTTCAGCCACTTCCCTGGAAACCGTAAAAGGCATTATCACAGCCTTTCAGGGAAGTTCAGCACAGGACTTTCATAGAAACATTCTATTCTACTACATATGGCAGAACAGTGGGATCATAATGACCTTGGTGCTTTCAACACCTTTTGCTGTGTTGTTTGTCATTTCAGCACACTTCGTGAATCGCGACGAGTTCCCAACATCAGTGGATATCAGTGGATTGAAAAATTCCTTCCTTTTAGCAAAAAGGACCTGCTTAATGCTACGTGCTTGGCTTTTCTGACATATGAGATTTCCTACCAGCTCTCCTTTTTGGCTCAACCCCATTCACACCTTGAACCTGATCGTGGGTGTGGAAGGGAACTGCTGCCTCCTGTCTTCCAGTTGTCTGGCACGAGTCTGAAGCAGAGGTGGTGGAAGAAATGGAACAATCCTGTGTGTCTGAGCAGCTCCCACCTGTGGAGGTATGATGTATTACAAGTGAAGATAAACTACCCCTTCTAGCTGACTCAGACATACATGTGAAAAACTCATGCTCTGATAGGCTGCGGCTGCTTGTTTCTGGGTTAAGGATACCTTCTGACTCTGAAATCACTGGTCCTTGGCATCTAGAAACTGTGTCTTCTTTTGGGTGTGCGCTAGAGGTGGTCAGACAGGGACTCTGTTCTGGCTCTTTGTCTCGAAAGAGTTTGCAGTTTGGAGGGGCCGGGCTTTGAGATTCTGAGTCAGACCAACTTAATCGACGTTTCTGAAAGAGAGTCGGGGGAAAAAAAGACAGACAGCATGGTTCAAAATTAAATTTGGCATTAAACAATGAATTAAACAATGTAAAGAACCCAACCTTTAACCTTGAGGGACATGGTGAGTGTCTTTAGTTCTTGTTCATCAAAACCATGTGCTGTGTTTGTATGATCTTATGTAATGACTTGTGGGTGTTTACTTTAAAAGAATGCTCGTCCATCACTTAAAGCCATACAATGCATGTTTTGGAAATTTGGAGACCTCTCTGGTGGAAATGTGTAATTACACACAATGTGCAGAAGAACATTGTCACATCAGGTGTGCTTCATACCCCTTCCCCTCGTGGATGAATCAGATGATTGCGAGCATGCTGAAAGAGTCATCTTCATGAGAATAATGTTCATTTCACATTTGAGACCTGAACATCAAGTCTATGCATATTTCTGGAGTTTATGCAAGTGACATTAATACATTAATTTGTGCAATGTGGTGCAAAAAACTCCTGCGAAGTCTGACTTGACACTGCTGACTTTTAACATTTTTTATCCCTGTTTTACAGGGTAACTCACAGCTGTGCACAGATGCCATATAAATACCTTTAAGAGTCTACTGGAAACAAAAAATGGCCATTTTTTGGTCATATTAAGCAAGATTATAATTTCATTTAAAAGACAAAATTCTTGTTTTTCTGTAATATTTGATTGAAATGTAATGACCTTTGCTGTCTGCAAAACATCTTAGGTCTGATTATATCAGCGTGCACCAGCTTGCAGGGAACAACATTAACCAATAATATGTGTCACCTATCCCTCTTACCACTCCCACAGATCATAGGACAAAAAACGCTGAACTGGCTCAGAGACTCTCCCTAACGTAACGTTTCACTTGGGAATATGTCATGAAACAAAAATGCATTGTGATTTCTGATTCACATTTTTAACCACTTTTTACATATTATACAGGGTAAAAATGACGAATTAATTGAGGTTTTATGACAATTATATAAATCAGTATAGGCTGTTTATTGTTTTAAACTAAATAACAGCTTTGGCATACAGGACCGCTTGTTGGCAAGTCTTTGGAAAACTGGATCCGCCACTGTGAGCTTGCAACCAGATATAAACATTCTGTGCCATTGAAAATTGCGTGTTCTAACGAATAAACTTAGACTATTATAAATACATATGTACTTACTATTAAATTTTATAACACTAACCAAAATGTCACTATAAATAAGTACTAAGGGTCAATATTGTATTGCAAAATAACAGGCTGTAAGAATGACCAAATGGCAAACGTGTAATGTGCAACTTTTTTTGCAAATGTATGTCCTCTGTATTAGTTGTATGTTGTTACTCATCCAGTACCAACAATCTGGGATAGTCAAGGCAGGCATTTAATTCCATAGAAACACATGAAACCCTAAACATAACCTTTCAAACTGCTGCTCACTTACATTCAGCTGCCCTACAACATTGTTTGGTGGAATGTCGCAACTGCAAAACTGTGTGTACGTGAGATGGCACACACCCATGACTGGCCAGCACCAGTCTGATCAACAGAAGAGAGTACATAAACCACCCCACCGACCCAGAGAGCAGGGCTAATTGTGCTCTTTTGGACTCTGGGGTTTTGTATCCAGATATTTGACCAAAAAAAGCCAAGCAGGCATGGCAGTACATTGCAAGCACAAGAACAGAACAGCCATGTCCAAAGATCCTAAGACTCAAAAAGTAGGAAAAAAGGGGGATTCACATGGACTGACTGTAACGAATTTGTTCATTGCCAATGTGAATTACTCATTGTCAAATCTCACCCCACCTGTTAGGTAGATCTCCCCCATCATACGATGCTACCAAGCTGAGAGGGTGAAGGAACATGAAGCCACAGACATTCTAAATGACTTAGAAAAAGCAACCCATCACATGAATCACATGAATTACTTTCTTGTAAGCTACAGAAACGACAGAGCCTTTAGACAGTAAGACTGGCTGTCATTTTCAGTCGTGACTAACATAGTTGGAAACCTGTTATAAAGGTCTGCGGACGGGAGCAGGACAAACGGTGCAGATATTCTCTGTGGGAGCGGGACTAAAAAAAAAGGGTATGAATATTTTAATGAAATCTAGCCAAGAGCCCCATGTAACACAGGCCTCACTACATGTTCAGACCAAAGACTCCTTCTTTTTCACTTGCAAGGAAATTTTTTTTGGTAACTGCAGATTCTCCTAGTATCTCTTAGCACTCAGCAAATCCTTATCTGGATGCTTAAAGTAACAGATGAGACAAATGTAGTCTATCAGTAGGGCTGCCACCTCAGTTCCATGAAAATCCGAGACAATCAGTGGATTCATTTTTTTTAATAAATTCAGTAGATGGGTAGGTCACGATGCAGTCTATGATACACAGAGGTCAGTTTGATCTAATTTTCTTAGGTACTGCATTGCAGTTCTGCCTAGCACCTAAACATATTCACAACAGCGCCAATAGTGCACTTTCTGAAGCAGTTATCCCTTTTTTTGAAGGTTATCTGAACCAATCAAGGCCATTCTTTCTATACAAATAGTTAAATTGAACAAAAGGAAGCAGTAAAATTAATAAGAAATGCTAACATATGGCAATGCTTGGTATCTATCAGCCAAGTCATGTTTGATATAAGAAGTTTGCTTCTTTTAGATTAGCACTAGAGCTACAGCACTAACATAAATAACAAGCAATAGAAGACTATACCTCACCAATAAGCACAGCGCAAATAATATGCCTAAAATATCACAGAAGGAATCAAATTACACTGCAGGACATGATTTAAGCATAAGAATACAGAAAACATGACATAAATAAAAACTGTGTAGCACTCATCTTAAAGCCTAAATGTCAGGTATGTCAAGTATGTGATGCACTTTCACTAATCATGATGGATGGAGCTTCAGAGGTCCTGTGATCAGAATGAGTGTGTCCTAAAACCGTAAATGAGGACCCATTGGAGCATAAGTCTGGAGCCAGCAGCTGCAGTAATTCCAGCTCCAACAGCAGAAATTAAAGTTGCTGCAGTTAAAAAGCTTGTAGTTGGATTTTGGGAGTGGGCTGATGGTCTGCCGCGAGGCGAGCCTGTCCCAGACTCTGCCTACCGGCGCCCCCCAGATGCCCTATACCCGGGATCTGGAGCATTTACTTTGAAAAAATTACAGTGTTCAAAGCCTGCCGTCTTCACACCTGAACTAGGAATTATGGAACAGTACCCATAATGGAATAGGACCCACAGGTGGGGACCCTTTGGAGGGCAAGTCTGGTGACAGCAGCCATGGTAATTCTAGCTCCAACAGCATATATTAAAGTTACCGCAGTTCGTTGCTTGTGGTAGGATTTTGGGAATGGCTTGGCAGTCCACCACTGCCTGTTCCAGATCTTGCGTACTGGTGTGCACCTGGATGCCCTTTGGCTGGATATCCACGTCCAGGGTCTACATTAGCCTCATAGCTCCAGTGTAAAACTAAAGCTGCATCAAACATGTCTGGGTTTATAGACTACATATGGGGTAAGAAGACAAAGTGAAACCTTCCTTTGAGGATTCATGTGGACTTTATACACTTGGAGCAAGAGTAGAGAATGCCTCATTAATCATTAAGTTAAGCACACTTGCAACAAGTGGCCTCTAAATGCATTAATGCTGTGCACAAAATCTGCCTTTTCCCCTCAATTTACTCCCAGTGTTTACCATATTCAACTCCCATCTACTTCAAATTTCTAATATTGGACAATAGCTACCACCTAAGCGTGTCTACCCCCTTTTTCAGGGGTGCTCAAGCACACCTAGATTGAGCCTCAGCACACCTAAAAATAAGAGTAAAAAGTCATTTGGGTTTGTTGTGTTTTTCTAAAAAAAAAAACAAAACGGAAGTTTGTCTCTGATAAGCAAATGTTATGATCCACTTTCTCTCTTCTACTTTTCTTACGCCCCACTCTCCCCAAAGCCGTGCAGTAGCTGTGCTAAGCGCGCACGCACTAGTGCCAGTTACAGCGTGACTGTGTGGTGTGGTGGCTCCAGTAAGTAGAACAGACGAGGATTTCGTGTCACAAAGTCGTCTGGAAGGAACCTTTCTAGAAATCTAAGCTCCACTCTTGCTTCACATCTGAAAAAACTCCACAGGTGTTGCTGTCTATCCTTCAACTGTGAGAAGACAACTCAATGCTGTGGGTCTGAAAGGATGTATAGCTGTCAAGAAATCCTTACTAAGAAAAGGAAAGAGAAAGAAAAATAAGAACATTTGCACTAGAACAATGAAACTGAATATCTGAGATATGAAGTAAAATTTATTAGGCTGATTAATCTAAATTTATATTCCAAAATGAAGTTGCGAGACTGAACTTTAAGCGGAAAACTGAAAGTAATTATCCCAAAAAGAGTGGAAGCTGTAATAAAGGCAAGGTCACACACTAAATATTGAGTTTAGTTGTTTTTGTGTAGTTTTCTGTTCAATGCGCAATCTTGATGCTGAAAAATTAATACATTGTACATAAGGGCCATTCTGACTGGAAATTAAATAAATGAAAGTGTGGTCTCTGAGTTTTGCAGAGTAAATGAGTAACAAGCCTTAGGATGTATTAAGCTTGGGATTTTATCAGATAAATTTCACTGGATCATTTAGATCGGTCATGCACTCAGCAAATTTGTAGGAAGACCTTTTTGCTGAAAAACAGACTAGCTTTCCTACCGTTTCCTATCCCAGCTAAAAGTTAAAGCAGACTCCTTCTAGACCAAGATTACATTCCAAGCATGTCCAAGTAAATCATTTACCCTGCAGACAGCTGAAAAACCATAGCATTAACTAGGCACTCTTCTCAAAGTGAGTCCAGCATGGGAGATCTATTGGCTGCTGTCAGTGAAGCAATTCACATCCAAATATGTTTCAGTAGCATAAAATGACATATTTGGTGCATTACAACACAAAACACATTATGATAAAGCACATCTTTCCAGATGTTTCTGCACAGCTGGTCTTAGTGCAACTACAGATGCCCTAAAATGTATTTGTAGACTTACAGTGTTATGTTTCATGTAATTAAGCAATAGTGCTGTCAAAATGATAATTAAATTTAATTTACTTTATTTTCATTTGTACTCAATATCTGTCCTAATAATGCATCTGAAACTGTATTATCAAAGAGAACACCAAGCTAGAAAAGCCCCGCCATAACAGGATTACTGACAGGTGAAAGTCTATGGAAATGAAAATGCAGTCTGGTCGAATGTATTTTCAAATGCACTGAGAGGCTGAGTGCAGTAGGTTAGAATATGCAATTGTAAAGAGAAGAGGTGCTGTTTCCCTTTTTACATTTGAAATTTGTCATTATTCTATCTTGGTGTTCTCTTTGGTAATGCAATTTCAAATGCTTTATTAGAGAATGCAAATGCATATAAGATAATTTACATCTTAATTATCATTTTGATACCACTATTCCATGATTACATGAAGCATAACACTGTAAGTCTACAAATACATTTTAGTTCAAATAAAGCATATAAACATCTACATCTCTAAGGATGAATAGTCAATAATAGTATACCTAAGGCCATGCTGTCACCAGAAAATGAATCAGCAACTGAATGGTAAAGACTAAAATGCACACCAACTAATATACAGTATACACCATTTTTAGGCACCTAAGTAAATTGTTTAAACCGTTCATCTCAGCAGTACGTGTGTTTTTGCCAGTAAAAACATAAGCATAACTTCTGAGATATGTAAACTTACCATAAATGCAGTAAATGTCTTATTTTCAAGAAAGTAGTTGATATCCTGTGAACTATTTTGAAGAACAAAGCATGGTTCCTTAGATGTCCCCAGCCATCACATGGATTTGTTAAATTCTATCAAAAGCACTCTAGATTTAATATCTTTAAATACTGATTAGCCAAAACAACTATAAATAATACTGGGCTTCTATGAGGAGAGACACTTTGACATAAATAAAATCACTCATTTTCTATTAAAATTATTTGTATTTATTATAATATTTGTATTTTTCTAAGAAAATAATTACTTACCACCCAGATAAATTGCGTTTTTCCCCAGTTATCTCCCCAATTTAGACATATCCAATTCCACCCACTAGTTGGGACGCATTATATGATGCCACCAGTGCTAGGAGGGTGAAGGCTAGCACAGGCTTCCTGAGAGTCCTGTGAAGTGCCACTGCATCTTTTCAAACTCCTGCTAATGCAATGTCATTGGACAGCTGAACACACTCGGAGGAAAGTGCCAACCGCCCGTTCTATTATCTGTTCTGCCTGCACTGGCTAGCATGGAGCTGGGTCATGAGAGGGAGGCCATCCTACCCACTCAAAGAGTGAGGTCAATTTTGCGCTCTTGGACCCCTGGCCACTGATGGCTGTAGCATCATCAGGGAGATAAACTGCCTTTTAATTGTAATTTATTTCCTCAGGTACCTAAAGGTTTGCACAGTACTGTAATTAATTCAAAGTATTATCTTTTCGAAGTACAAATCTATCAAAACTCTACTATATATGACTGAATAAACTAGCTACTTCTCAACTGTAACCTTTGAATTAACAGTCAATTGTCAGCATCTCCACTGTTTGAATGGTTATGACTATGTTTTACCTTCATGGGCAGCTGGTTCTGATGCCAGCGTGGTTGAGTGCTGGCAGTGGAGTTTTGGGACAGTGGGGTGGAATTAGGGTCACAGGATGCCACGTGAGGAAACCAAACCTTTAACATCATCTCCAGTTGCAGAAGCGTGCGCAGATACTTCTCCCTGTGTGTGTGTATGAAGGGGGGATTGGAGATGAGTTTCAACAGCTAATGTATTCCGTTGTTTGAAGCTCTTTTCTTTAAAAGATTCTTGTTAAAATGTTTAAACAAAAATAAGGCAGCATACCCTAGATGAGGTTTTTGCAGAATCCCAGCAATCCTTTGCAATCTGTCCATGGCAACACTTTGCTGGAATGTGCTCAGACCTGTCAATGAGACGGATGTCATCATTCTAAAGAAATAACTAGAAGTTAATTTTTTAGCTTATATGTTCTAGAAAGTTGCAAATACCTTCATTTACAATGAAAAAGTATTTGTCCCCTCCTGATTTCTTATGTTTTGGCATATTTGTCAGACTTGTCTCAGTCTTTAAATTTCACCAACTGATTCTATGCGATAAAATAATTACCCCCTTAGTTACTCAATCAACCAATTATTCAAATGTAGTTGACGAATGGATCAATTAAACTAGACATGCAGCAGCTTCATTACTGCCAGACATGGTTAAATTAAAAACTACATAAACAAAACATGAATATTAAGTAGGCTAAGAGGTCTCAACAAACAGCACACTATGCAGCGATCAAAATAAATTCTAAAATAGATGAGAAAGTTGTATATATATACACACACAAGTTGAAAGTGAACCTTTTTGGAAGACAGGGATCCCATTACAACAGGCTTAGAGCTAACACAGCATTCCACCATAAGAACATCATACCAACAGTCAAACATGGTGGTGGTAGTGTGATGGTGTGGGGCTGCTTTGCTGATTCAGGGCCTGAGTGACTTGCCATAATTGACAGAGCCATGAATTCTGCTCTGTACCAGAAAATCCTACAGGAGATTGCCCAGTCCTTGGTTTGTGATCTGGAGCTGAAGCACCATGGGGTTATGCAGCAAGACAATGATTTAAAAGATGAAGAGCAAGCCCACCTCTAAACAACTCAAGAGAAATAAAATTAAGGTTCTGGAGTGGCCTAGTCAAAGTCCTGACTTGAACTCCAATGGGATGCTGTGACAGAACAGGCAGTACATGCTTGAAAGCCCTGCAATGTGGCTGAGTGAGCAATTCCGCAAAGAAAAGCAGGTCAAAAAGACTGATCTACAGTTGTAGGCAGCATTTGGTAGCAGGTTTTGCTGCTAAAGGTGGCACAGTTAAATCAGTTATTAAGTTTGGGGGCAATTACTTTTTCATATGCATGACACTGGTGTTGCAAAACCTTTTTCCTTCAATGAGTGAAATAATAATTTAAAAACTGTTTTGTGTTCTCCTTGCTCTTATATTACATTTAGTATGAGAATCTGAAACTAGTTAGTGTAACTGTAAGTGTAAATAATAACAGAGGATATTAGGAGGGGGCAACTACTTTTTCCATTGTATGTCATTTCCATAGATCTTGTCACACACACAGGCACTTACCTTTGTCATATCTCCCTGTTTTCAATCCATTTAGCAGCTCCAGCAGTGGCCTAACATAACCACTCAGCTCTGCACACTGAAAGCAAGAGAAAGATTACTGGCATGATGAGCTGCTCTTAAGAGAAAGATCAAAGACTTTCAGAATCTGTCATGTGCACCAACATCCACTAACAGACAAACATTTACTTTAGAATAATTTCCCACAGGCCCCACAAGTCTAATGTAAACGGAAGCAAGCCATATGAAAATGAAATATATTGTCATATGTCGTCGACATATTAAACGTCAACAATTATTTTTCAACATCGCGATTTTTTGTAGTGGTGGTGCCATCTTTTGTACTGGTTTTGGTGTCACATAATAATCGGCCTCATTCACCAATATTTTCCTACGTTTTTCTTACATTTGTTCTTGAGATGGTCTTAAAAAATCTGTCAAATTCATGTCGTGTTTTTCAGTGACAGAACTGTTCACAAGCTTTGTGCTCTTGAGTGAGTGTAGATTCTGTTCTTACTTAAAAACAAATCCCAAAAACACTGGCGGTTGTCAGAATCTTCGTGAAAACTGTGAAAGTGGGTTTCAAGAAGAAATTTCTTCTTAAGAACGGTTGGTGAAAGAGGCCCATTGATTTATAGTTTTAGCAGTTCTGATGGAGAACAAAAACTTTGTTAACTGTAATGTATGTTATTTGCTTGGTGCTTCATATTGTTTTAGAAGAACAGTTATATAAAAGATAAATAAATAGTATATTTCCTTCACAGAAACGTGCCTTCTTGTCTACTTAAAGGGGAATTCCACTCATTTTTCCAATTTCTTGTATAATTACGTGGTTTAGATGTAAACCAAAGTCATTTAAAGACTAAAGTAAATAAAGTATTTAAGCTCCCTCACAGATGGTTGTTACCTGAAAATGTTATAATTATGCTGCCTGATGTCCAAGAAATTGTTTTAGGATAGTTCAGATACAGTTTTGGCCAAAGACAATTAACAACATTCATGGCAGGGATGCACATGATTTACCACTATGTTACATCAACATTACATATTAAAACTCAGAAGTCACATGTAGGCATACAGGTGGTTTTGGACTATAAATAAAATGGCTATATTTGTGTAGTAAACACTGCAAACTCTGGTTCTTATCACCACCACTGTAAAGAAATCAGTCAGTAAGCTTCTCTACAATGAATCATCTCACAAACCACTATGAACGACTCTGTTTACATTTCAACAACTTTGCTATGCAGAATGTTTGAAGAATCACGTGGAATTTCTCTGTAATGTTTACTCTGTAATCAAAGCAAGTTATGTCAGACTTGTAAGATATATTAGAATAGAACAGCAGTACTCAGGAAGCATGAAGTCATTAACTTGATTAATGAAAACTTAAATAATACCTAATATTGTGATAAACTTAAAAAGAAATTCTGGTATTGAATTTTATCAATACTGCTTAGTACTAATGGAAGGGTGACTTGATGACTCACTTTGCGAGAAAAGGCCAAGTCTCCTTCTGTCGGAGCCCGAGTAGCCGATACAGAGGTCAAACCACCATATGCTGGGGATCTGTGGCAGTGCGCTGTCTGGTCGCTCTCAGCTGTGGAACTTCGCTGATCTCCACAGTCTGAATGTGGCTCAGGACTCTGTGGGAGCTCCGTGGCGAAGGGCGCAGGGCTGGACTTGCCCAAACCAGCCTCAACAACTCCCTCTGAAGAGGCCTCAGATGAGACGTCATCCTCCGTCTGGTCGCTCTCACCGAACATAAAGCGCGTGGTGGAAGAGAGGGCGGCTTGTGACGGCCATTCAGAGGAACTGCCAAGTGACTGCATCACTGAAGACACAGGAGCGCAGATAAAAAGGTGATAAAGTTGAGTTTGTCACATGTTTACTGAAGCATTCTGATTCAAACAGAAGGGTGAGATTAGACAGGAAACAGGCTGAAATAACACAAGTGTGAGTGTGGCGTATAGGATAAGCAGCGATAGAGAATTAAATCACTTTCCTGGAAAAAAAAAGGAGGAAACACCATGTGAAAGCAAGAGGACATCAACGTACAGTTTAGAAAACAAAGGGAGAGGACAAAAGTGCCTGAGACTGGGATTAGCAGGAAGAAAAACCTACCTGTTTTTTCTCTCTTCGCAGGACTCCATTCTCACATTGAGAAAAGTACACTCATGTTTCTCAGTAAACTCATATTTCAAACAGTTTATAAGAGCAGCACAGTACAAGCCACACCCTAAGTCAAAGGAATATAGTTCTCTGACCTTTAGGGCTGTAAGATCAGGACTTAGTATTTATGCCAATCTCCAATCTATGCCACCAGACTTGGAGGTGGTCTATGGTTCAGGAGGTGGAACTGGGTTTTTCCATCATGGTATAACTGGGTGAAAGGGGATCATTCAGGAATCTTCAAGGCCTTAGGCCTGACTGAGAGCGAAGCTGCTGACGTCATTAGGATGCGCTTGAGAAACACTACCTTTGTCGTCTCAATCTTACCACCGACACTGTGTTCAGGTTTGTTTCTGAGCTCATCCAAATTTCTATTAGTTCTGATTAGTAACGATGAATTAGCAATCATATATGTAAATTGTCTAATTTACATATGATTTGCATATAACTGCTTTGACCAAGTCTTTGTTAGAGGGCAGGTGCTCTCACCCCACCACTTTCTCTCTCTCTCTTCACTCTTATTTTAGCCTGCTCATTTTCTGTAAGCTTTTGTCTTCATTAGGCCTTTATGCGCGAGATTACATACGTTTGTGTAAACATGCGGACCTGTTAAGATTATTTTTCTCTGTTTTTATCCATTTTTTAATAATATTTCCTTTTTTATGTTCCCTTTAATCCTAAAAAACATGTTTCTTATTACATTTATAACCTTTTCTATTTTTTTAAACCATTGTATGGTTTTCTCTTTTCAGTGTTTGGGGTATGTCACATCATACACATGAATGGGTGTTTTTCATACGTTTCTAAATTTTTATCATAGCTTTGCTGTGGTATATTACCCAACAAAACACTGAGGGCAGTATACAAACTCGTTTCAGACAGTTTGCAAGAACAGCACACTACACACCGTGCACTGGGTCAAAGGTCACATCAGCAGCGAGATAAATCACGAACAGCAGAGTCTTTAAGAGTCCATTTGAGGGGAAAAAAACTACTGAAATCAGCAGTTTAACGTATAAATGTTGCTAGAAAACCGAGCACAGAGCTGACGGAACCGAAAATCTGCCGCTCAGAACTCAGACTCAACGGTCACGAGTAAAACAAGGCCTCACTAGATAAAAACTAAAAAAAAATAAGGAGCCTATTTGTTTCCGGAAGATTAAACATACCAGAAATGTCCTTTTATACAGACTGAGCTAACACTGCGCTCACTTCTACACTCTACACTACAAAGTAAACACGCCTGGGTCTCAGAGCCCCGTGTATGTATATATATGTGTGTGTGTGTGTGTGTGTGTGTGAGTGTGTGAGAGAGAGAGTGGATGTGCGCGCGCGCCGTGTGTTTATGTTGGTTTCTGCTTCAACATGCCCGTTTTTCACAGTTTCACAGGCGACAGAGTCAAATAACGACACTTAGGCTTAAATGTGGAACTCAAAACGAGCCGTAAAGAAGCGGCTTCATGTCCACATTAAATAAGTGTGTGAACCGCCCGAGAAGTGAGACCGAGTCTTTCACCCTGCAGCTCGATGTGGGTTTGTGGCGCTGTCTGCTCCGCGATGGTGGGCTGTTAGAAGCTGCCAGGAGTGTTTGTATGTTTAGGTTCAAGCGTACTTACAGATAAGGCTTTGTGATATAAGGCTAACCCGCCCGTGTCGGTGGGAGTGAAGAGACTCGTTGTCACTTTCGAGGTAAATGTGATTTTGCAGGAATATAATAAATTATTTTTCCTCACCTTGTGTTTTTCTCGCGGTGAAGACCGTCCGGCTGAAGAACTGAAGCTCCGCTGTCGTTTCCTCCGTTTAACTCGGAGCTCCTCTGTCGCTTTTTCTGATCAGAAAGTTCACCGCCCTGTTTCTGAAATCCAACCTGTTCTATTTCTTCTACACTGATTTGTGTCGCCTTTCTTTTTCTCGCCGCTTCCCTCCTCTCTTCCTTCCTTCCTTTTTTTCTTTAAGCGCTTCACTTTCCAGCGAGGGACAGCATGTGCGTCTCTACACGTGCCCCGCTTGTGTGCGAGCCACGCCGAGCGCCCATTGGCTGCGCTGCGCAGGCTAGCGCGCTCATGGGACCCTGATCCGACCAATCAGCATCCGACCTGCCCAGGATTGGTCAGTTACATGTGTTTGCAAGCCTCAGTCCTCGCACGTGGCACTCGTGTGGAAGGACGACTACTACAGCATGGAGGAATTGGACACACACACTCTCTCTCTTTCTCTCCCTCCCTCCCTCTCTCTCTCTCTCTCTCTCTCTCTCTCTCTCTCTCTCTCTCTCTCGGTATTATCTGCCATTTTCCAACACGAGGATCAGAGCGTGTAGGGTCACGTAAGAAAACATTTGTCCTTTTCAATCACTAGTGAAACATTACACTAAATAACATGTTGATGTTCAGTTTTAAACGCTGGGAATGTTTCACAATGCGTGAAATCACAGCTTTCACAGCAAGTGGGACAACTTAAAAGACCCATATCCTACAGTTTTTGTGTTTAATTATATGAGGTCCACTGTTTTCAACAGTGTTTTTTATGGTATTTTTACAGTTTTCTTATGTACCAAAAACCATAATCATTCATTTTTCTATAACCATTTTCCATCCCCTCTTTATTCCTCAGTACAGGCTTTAAAGCTGAGATATGTAAACCTCTGTCCTGATTGGCTGCCCTGCATCGACGAAGAAAGTAGGGGGTGCTGAGGGGGCTGCAGCATCCCAGGTTTCAGGACATCAAAAACGGCAATACTAATACAGAGATTTGTATCTTTTAGTAATTTGTGCACAGCCAGCACTGTTTAAGTTATCAATGTATTTTCATTACTTTGAGCTGAATCGCTTCCTGCGACAACAGTTAGGCGTTTTGGGGTCGCGCTGCAGTTCGAGGTTTAAATAGAGAAAGTGTAGAGATAGAGGCCTGTTCTCAACCTCAAAGTGGCCTAATACTGTTGTTAAACTTTTAAAAAATCAAGTTTGTCCAGATTGAGAGAGCAAAGTGATGATGAGCATCAGTTATATGTATACATGACGTCATCGTTCATGTTACATAAATGCTGCTTAAAAGTTCAAAACCCCCAACTTAAAACACCTTCCCGCATACCTGCTGCCCTGTATTTAAAAATACAGCCTGCGCTGAAACAACTGTCTTTGGTTTTATCAGAAAAATGAGCTTCTCACCAGGAGGCACCACATGAACACCCTTCAAAGTTGGATGATGAAGTTGGGTACTTTGAAATTTTTGATGCGCCACGAATTGGCTGAGTTGTGACGTCAACACTATTTTCGTCATGGTGAAAAATAGAAGCAAATAGTCCAACAAAGAAAAGCAGTCAGATAAATAAATGCTAATACTAAAGTACATTTTAAACACACAGTTAACCCACATTTTGTTTTTGCTTTGTATGTCTTCAAAACACATAACAAAATAGGCCAAAACCAGTAGATGCCAGCTAGCTAATTAACCACAACACCCATTTCACAATTTCACCACATGAACGTGCATGTTTGGTGAACAAGTTCCTTCTTGAACAAAACTTCCACCCCACTTGCACTTGAAAGCAGTAACTCCTCGTACCTTTGGTGGGAATGGGCAGATAGATGTAAATGTTAGATATAGCCACACCACTAAGACAGAATTAATGTCAAAATTTTCACTCTAGAAGTTAGTGGTCACTCATTTGTTTTCCACAAATATGTCCTAAAACTTCTCTCAACCCACTCAAACAACATCAGTTGTTGTGTAGCATACCTGACCACAGCATTCAGCTACACAGTGAGATTTTAAAGTCTGAATGGCCTTAATGAAGATGTGGATGCGGTTTGAGCAGGTTGAGGGTTTTGGCGAGGTATTTACAAAAAAAAAATTGACTTCTAGTGTTTGTTGGCAGTGTTTGCCAAAGTTTCCAGCTCTAAATTAAATGTTTTTTTCACCAAATTATTCCTCTAAGCCAAAATTGAAGGCTGTCCATGAGGACTATTCCTTACCTCTTCTCTTATTGAACATACTTGACCTCTGGCTTATTATCTGTTTAACAAAATACCCCTGTGACATACTTCCATCACATTTTAAAAGAATTGCTGTATTGGTTGGTAAGTTCTTCGTCTTAGGGCGTGAGAACAGGCCAGAACCGAGCTAAAATTAAGCTTTACTGGTCGGACATTTAACAAAAAGGATTTCTGTGGTGGAACTTATTATTCATTTAGCAATGTAAATATGAGATGAGTAACAGTTTCCATCCTCAGTGTTAATTATGCAATATGAAATTACAGTCACCACCTCCAATGTTGGTAATCCAATTTATAAATAACACTCTCTCAATGTTTTAACACTTTTAGTCCAATAACATTCGGAGGAATGCAGTAATTCAAAAAAACCTGACCTACTTTCTCACCAGACATCCACAGAGTTGTGACTATGCTAGTGTGAAGGCCCATCGGTATCCAATGGTGTAGCTCATTCAAACCGAGCGAAGTCTGGAGTGAGTCAGTCGTTCAAGGCCATCGGATCTGACTTCCATCTTATGTCAACACGCTCCACTGACATAAAATATCAGTCATGCGTCAGCCATGCCCTACAATTCCCCGCACAGATTCTGCAGCCAGATTCTGTAACTTCCATGCAGACACGACCTCCTGTAGATGACCTGGGAACATCTGCAGGAGGTCCTGTCTGTATAAGAATCACTGAGTCTAAAGACGTATTAAGACCCCCATGGTGTTCACCCCTGATGGGGCCAATTCATCTGTGAATGATAGGCTTCACTAGGTTACTCCAGTGGGCCCAAATGGGCATGGTGGGGGGTTCCTCCACTTGACCTAACAGCATGACATACTGCCCTGTTGCAGAGTCAATGTTCATGAGGCACAGTGAATTCTACCTTCATGTCAGGCCCCAAGAATGGTGTTAGGATGATTTTGTAGCTTTTGGACTCTTTTACCTTATCAACTTGTATGCTCATTCTGAAATTGATGCCTGCTACACAATTCAAAAAAGTTAATTCATTAATGCTAAACGAAATATACAGGTTTTGACAACATATGCTCCCATCCAGACAGCGTCTCTTTCAGTGAAGGCCTTGCATATTTCAGCAAGACAATGCAAAACCACCCACTGCATCCATCACAACAGCATGGCTTTGCAGAATAGGAGTCTGGGTGCTGAACTGGCCTGCCTGCTGTCCAGACCTTTCACCAATAGAAAGCATTTTGCGCATCATGAAACGAAAAATCTGGCAAAGAAGACCCAGGACTGTTGAGAAGCTAGAATCCTACATCAGACAAGAATGGGACAACATTCCTCTCCCAAAACTGCAGCAGTTGGTCTCCTCACTTACCAGACATTTACAGACTGTTGTTAAAAGAAGAGGGGATGCTACACAATGGTAGACATGGCCCTGTCCCAATTTTTTTGAGATATGTTGCTGAACATCTGATCTATGTTCTATTGGGAATAAAATATGGGTCTATGAGATTTGCAAATCATTGCATTCTGTTTTTATTTACATTTCTTTACATTTTACACAGCGTCCCAACTTTTTCGGAATTGGGGTTGTAAAACAAAACACCCTAACTCTCTGTTTAAAAACAGGAAAAAAGATAACCAAAACAAAAGGCCCTCATCCCCTACTTTTCACAAAATTCACAGTTTCATAAAGTTTAATAAAGTTCTCATGAATTTAACAGAGCAGGATTAGAGTGGAGTGATGAGTGTCGGGCTGATCTGGACAGGTGTACTGGTGTACTGGATCATGTCAAAGGGGAGACAGCCCAGAACATCTCTCTTGGTAGTGGCTTGGCAACCTGTTTTAATCACGGACTTACACAGAGTACAACAAACACACAAAAAGAGAAAAAAAAGCAGACAGCAGCCAATACAGGACTATTACGACCAGGGGTCTTAACAAAAGCAATGCTTCTCAATCTTGCTTCTGCTGACCCTTAAACATGAACACACGTTTCAAGGCATAAAAGTCTTAAGAGTCAGGCTTCCCTATAGAAAAAAACACTGGGGCAACAGATTACCAGCACCACTTTAGATTAAGACTACACTTATAAAACATTTATGAATGGTGTAAAATTAGTTTATTAGTTGTTATTACGTAGGTCATAAACATCTGAAAGTTCATTAATAAGCAAAAAGGGCAACAGTGATCTGTTGTTTGCCTAACAGTGAACCCACATTCACTTAGTTAAACCTCAGATCTTGCTGGTTACTAACCTTGCTTTGTCTTCTCCATCAGTCAGCATTAAATGTGTCAGCTTCATCAGGTATTCATATTTATCTTTTGTATTAATAGGTTATAATGGTTTATTGATGACTTTAAGGTATTTATGAGCTAATTAATAACCATTAATAAACTTATTTTAAACCATTCATAAACCACTTATAAAGGTAGTCTTATTTTAAAGTGGTACCAGATTATCTTTCATTCATTTACAGTGAACAGGTATTCCCCATTTATCCAGCACTTCTGACAAAAAATAAACAGTGCATGTTTTGCAAGATACAAAACTTTTCCTCTCTTCTTCTCCGATCCTGATGGATGTTTTCCCAGCTCCCAACTCACCCTGTCAAGCAATGAAGGGTTTGTTATGGAGCTGATTAGTTGGATTAGTTAATAAGCAGGTGTGTTGGTAGCAGAGGAAACACTAAAATGTGCTGGGCAGAGAGTTCTCCAGGACCAGGGATGGGAATAGCAAAATTGCATTGCAGGGGTAATCCAAAACTAGGGCTGAGAACCACATTACAGAACCAAATAGAACACTGTTCTGTGTTTAGGCTACACAAGTGCTGTGTAGTAGCCTAAACATTTCTAAATTTTACTTCAAAACCAGACTGATCCAAATTTATGCTAGCATTTCAAACACATTAATGATCATCATTCTGTACTATGAACCATCAAGTGCTGCAATTCCCATGCATTTGCTCCAACCATACAGCTGCAGTAATTAAACAAAGTAGGTTTTCATAATTTAGCAGCTTATGCATGAAATCAGGTAGAATTGTGGAGACTGGAACAAGCACCTGTCGATACTGCAGCACTTAATGCAGGGGTGTTCTATCTTGGTCTTGAACACCTATCACCCTGCAGAGTTTAGTTCCAACCCTAATCTAACACACCTGTTTTGTGTAATGACCACCTTCAGGGGCATCTGAATATTAAAGCCAGGTGTGCTGGATCTGAACTCTCCAGGGTGGTAGATCTCCAGGACCCGGGTTGGGCATCCTTAACCTAATGGATAATGGATTGCCCTGCAATGGGAGTAGAAGGAAAATATAGCACAGTGTTTTGCAAATCAAGTCCTGTAGTCATTTACCAGCTTCTGATCATTAAGAGCTTGAAAAGTTAAATCAGGTCAAGTGAAAAGAGTACAGCTGAACTCCAGAACTGGCCATGACAGCTTCTTAAATTACTTATACACAAAAGATACTCGTTCTTAAAGTTCTTATGATTGCCTGTATGAAGGTATATTATTTAGGTAGGAACAACAAAGCAGGTTATCTAGCTGTGCTGTAGCGCTGTGGTACATTGTATATGATTTGTCCATTTCTAAACCACTTAACTAGCATAGGTACCCCTGTTATTGACCACTTCAATACGAAAAATCGGTTATCCATGCTAACTGTAAAAAAATAAAAGTACTTACCCAAATTAATGTTTTTTTCAGGAAAAACATGCATTCATCCAGCACTTTATTAGGATTTCAAAAGAAATCCTAATAAAGTGAAACATAGAAACTTAGAAACATTCCTTTGATTGCATCACGCAATTCCTGCTGATTTTTCACTTTCAGGCTGTGAATCGGCTGTTCTACCACATCCCAAAGGTGTTCAATTGGATTCAGGTCCAGTGACACGTCCAAGAAACCAGTTTGACAACTTTTGCTTTGCAACATGGCACATTTTCATCCTGGAAGTAGCCCTTAAAAGATGGTAAATTGTGGCTATGAAGGGATGCACATGGTCAGCAACAATATTCAAATTGGCTGTGGCTTTCAAGTGATGATGGAGTGCACCAAGAAAACATTCCCCACACCATTACACCACCTCCACCAGCCTGTACTGTAGACACAAGGCAGGTTGGCTACATGGATTCATGCTGTTGGAGCCGAATTCTGACCCTACCACCTGTGTGCCTCAGCAGAGTTTAGAATTCATCACACCACGTTTTTACAGCCTTGAACTATCCAGTTTTGGTGAGCCCATGTCCACTGCATTCTCAGCTTGGTCTTCTGGTCTTCTGCTGTTGTAGCCCATCCACCTCAAACATACATTCAAGGTTTGATGTGTTGTGCATTCTAAGATGATTTTCTGCGCACCACAATTGTGCTTAATGTTTATCTGAGTTACTGTAGCCCATCTGTCAACTTGAACCAGTCTGGCCATTCTCTGTTGACCTCTCTTATCAACAAGGTGTTTCTGTCTGCAGAACTGCCACTCACCAAAATGTTTTTTCTGTATTGCACCATTCTCTGTGGTGAGACCATTGTGTGTAAAAATCCCAGATCAATAGTTACAGGAATACTCAAACCAGCCCATCTGGCACCAACAATCATGCCATGGCCAAAATCACTGAGATCACTTTTTTTTCCATTCTGACCATTGTTGTAAACATTAGCTGCTGACCTGTATCTGAATGATGTTATGCACTGGTGCCACATGGTTGGCTGATTAGATAATTGCACAAACAAGTAGGTGTACATTTTAATGAAGAGCTAGTTGTGTATGTCTAGTGTCCAAGACTTGTTTGACTTTCAAGGAAAATATTTTTTTCAATAATGCGTTTTTTGTTTATCTTGATACCAATACTGCTTAAATGGATTGGAGACCCCCAAAATTTGCCACTATCGGTCACTTTTGGTTTTCCGTAACTCGTCTTTCCACATAAAACACTGTATTGCGTTTACTGTGATATTAGGTTTGCCCTCTGTGGACACGTTTACTCTTTATACCTATTACTAGTCCCCATGGTGGCCAACTTTTCACCTCAGATCAAAGAAAGCTAACCCACATAAACTGTAGAGAGTTAGTTTAACCATGGGGGTGTTATGTGTTCACATTCACCAGTTCAGCCTGTAGTGTTCTCATAGTTATCATCAGGAGATTGTAAGCTCAAATCCCAGAGTTTCCATGACCCAGTGGCAATTATTGGCGACATTCAGAAACTGCCTGCTGCCAATATCTGCCGATATTATCGGGCAAACAATATACTGGTCAGGCCTCTAGTAAGTACAGTTCCAAAGAACCTACTTGATACATGAGCAGATTTAAAAATATATAGATTAAATAAATAACCAACAATTTACACCATCTTATCTTGTGATAAGATTATGGAGACATTTAATGGTGGTACCCTGACATCGACATAAACATACTGGATGTGGTCAGTTTCACACAATGTGTACAGTAACACAAACAGGCAAGAGATGAGCATAAAAGGAACAAAAGCCCAACACTGACATTCTCTACTAGGATGGAATCCCAGTGAACTACAACAGGACCAGAACTTAGACAAAATCAGAGTGGTGCTGTTTCCATAATCCAGTCCGTGGGTCTCCTTTCTTTACCAGGTTACAGTGAATTGTTCCAAAACAACATATGGTCTGTCCTTGTAAAAAGTTATCTGTAACTAACACCCGAGCCATGGGTCTTGTCTGTTTGCCCTGGATATAAAGGAGATCTTGCGGGCCATGTCAGTGTGGTAGATTCTCTTGCAGTTCTCGTAGTTCTCCCTCTGTCTGCGTCTGCAGGGCTTCTCATAATAGCGTCCGCGCTTTACAGTCTCAATGATTCCATCCGTCGATAGCACCCTGGAGTGAGATGAGACAGACAGAAGATGAGATGCATGGGTCCTTTATTACTTGCTTTTACAATCTCAAACCTCAGAAGAAAATAGCCATATGAGAACAAAATCACATCTCTGCCAAATCAATGAAGCATCAGTGTACTGATTAAACATTGGTGAGATTTAATGCCCCTGGATTTATAGAGCAAACAAGCCTATTTATTTCAAAATGAAGAGGCTGGATTTTTGCCCAGTTTCCTCTCCAGTGTTAGCTGTTGCCAACTGCTGTATGAATCCCCCAAGACTAGAAATTCCACTGGTTTATGAATATATCTACAACAATATTCATGTTGCATATACAATATGCCTGCAATAATGATCATTCACAAAGCATATGAACCCAATTAACAAATGTGCCTACACTAAGGGCGTGTTCAGACGTTGCAGGTTTGGTTCGATTAAAATGGACCCTGGTGCGACTGCTCTGGTTCATTAGAGCAAGTGAGAACACTGACATCCTGGTCAACTCTGGTACACACCAAATGAATGAATGAATGAATGAATGAGTGAATGAATGAATGAAAATAAATAAATAAATAAATGGTTCACCTCAAAATGAACTCTTGTACGGTTCATTTAAAGTATGAACATAATACAGACCAAAGACATCTAAACAGACCTAAGATAGAATGAACTGTTGTCTCCACTCTGCTAGAGCTGGGCGATATGGGTATATATATAAATGATAAAATAAAAATGTTATCACGATAAACAAAATTCATATTGTTCGATATCGATACATACCGCGATAAATGTCAAATCATTATTTCTTTCAAGTTTGAAGGCTGATTTTTGCTCCTGGGTGGTTAATTGCTGTTTTAAACTATCCTTTATGGTCAGATCGTGACAAACACTCGCCAAACAGTGGAACATTTCACAAATCTGTCATGGGAGAGTGGGGAGAAAGTGTCTGGTGAGCTGTTTTTACCAGCTGGAAAAGCATGGCTATTTTGTATAGTCATAATTTAAGAAAGAAAACATTTTTAGCTGGTGACGAGCGCTCGGCTACCCTGCTACAATTGACATCATAGCATTCAAACACCAGAAGCGACGACTGGATTTCTCTATACTATCGTAGTAGTTTAAGTGGTGAACCGCAAAATATCAACACCAGACAAACAGAGTCCACCTTTTAGGTACGTTTAAACTGAAAGCGGTGCTTTTGTGTCGTGTCTGATCCACAGTATCATCAGTTCTCCGTGTTGTGCAGTGAAGGAGCGCTGCTTCAAGTTAGCCAGCTGCTAAAAAACAGCTAGCCTGAAAAGCTAGGTTAGCGCTCTCCCGCACTCCAATGCCTCACAGCTTCCTCAGTTTACTTTTGTTTAAATCAGGGCTGTAATTTACATGAACCCACTGGGAATACACTAATACTAAATATGACTGAGCGCTGTAGTTGTGAGGATTGTGATTTATCGCTGCTAAAGTTGTTGGAAAGGATGCACGGAAAGAGGTGAGTTCGCTGTAGGACAGTACAGTTACACCACTGACCTCGTCACTCACACTCGGTCACAGGAGAACAGATCGCCGATAACATCCACTCAGACAGGGACTGTATAACTCCGCGTTTCAGCCGTTGCTAAAGACTCATCTTACTCGTGGCCCCCTCCCTCACTAATCATGTAGAAAAACTCGGAAGTGCGCCCTCTCCTGGCGACAGCAGAGTAGTGTCGCTTTCCTTGCAGAAGAAAACGACACCAGGGCTTTCGCTGAACGTGGGACTGTGAGAATGGTGTATTATTTCGAACATTTATCGAACATGTCGTATCGCTCTATCGAGGAAAAGTTATATCGCGATAATTATCGTTATCATTTTGTCGCCCAGCCCTACACTCTGCAGAACTTTTTTACTATGTGGGAAATTTGATTTTCTGAAGCTGTTTTGAGACATGCATGCGTTTTATCATCTTTTCATACTCTCTGAATGGGTAAACATAAAATAGATCATTTCGGTTTTAAAATGAGGCTGAACTCACTATAAAATACTCAATATACACATCTGACTGCATACGAATTATATTATGCATTACAGTACCAAGGTTTCTCTGATTTGTAAAAGCAGTACTTTGCGTTTTGCAAAACCTCTGTAACAAAGAGAGTCTTGTGTCTTATTGCTCTAATAGATAGACAAAACAGATAAAACAAGACATAAATAAAGCCAAACAGTTGTGATCTTTTACTTGTCAGTGTGAACGTTAGGCAAACCAGAACTAAAATGAAGCAATGAATCATTTTCTGCTTGGGTCTGAACCAAGGGAACCAAACTATAGTGGTTGCTATAATGTAGTGGATGATGCCTCTGCCCTCCATGCTGCAGACTAGAGTTTGATCCCCCACCTGGGTAAGCACCTTACACTATAAAAATAAGAGTCCTTGGGCTAGACTCCTAACACAGTTACTCAGGATAAAAGCATCTACCAAATGCCATAAACAAAAGTGTCTCTGACATGACATGCGTTTTTTGTGTCCATTATTTCCCCCCCAAAAATGTAATAAATACATGAAATATATCAAATTATTCAACAATACCGCTTTTATGTGAAAATATGCTTCCATTTAAAGCTCATTTTAGCATCTTCTGCCTCCAAAAGTCTAAAGACAGGTGGTGCCACTGGCCAACCATATATGTTAGGTAAACTATTAAGATTTATAATTTAGTTAAATAATAGTTTTTGAATGAACTTATGAAAATTGAAAACTTTATTTTGCTCTTTTAATTTATGATAATTGAAAACTTTAAAATAAAAACCACGTTGCAGAGTAAGGTGAAGAATATATATTTGTTTGAAAGAAGTACTCAACAGCTCCCTCTGTGGGTAACAACTATATTTCCTATAATCATTTCTTGGCAATAATTTATTTTAAAGAGAGAGTAACCATGAACCTAGCTTTACTCATTACAGGGGAATTCCACTATTTTTTCGAAACCTCTGCATAGTTCAATTGTTGATATGTCAAAGTCATTCAATGGTTGGGTTTGAAATGCTTCACTGTAAATAAACTTACAGACTTGGATTTCTTTACCGTGATGGTGACAGGAACCAGGAATTACAATGCTTACAGTGCAAATATAATGATTTCATTTACTATCCCAGAATACTAGTGAACCTATGGAAGTTTTCGGAGTATTTATATGTAACAATAATGATGGTAAAATAGAGTTAAATCTGGAAAAAATTGGGGACTATTTTGCCTCACATCTGCATTCAAAAGGTGGAAGGGGGGACACAAAATAAAATGATAATATTTAAAATACACCTACATGTTTTAATTTAGCACGATATAACTTATGCTGAAAGCTTGTGATGAGTTGAGGCAAAACAGGACGGTTGCAACAGAAATCATTATCATAACTGTAAACACGTCACTCAAGCCTAGAGACAAGCTTAGTCTGCCTTGCTGACCACATGACTTGCTATAATACAGTAAAAAGAAACAAGCATTTCTTGTTCTCAAAAGGGTAGTTCTAGTATCTTGTGAGCTTGTTTGAAGAGCAAATGTTGGTCCCATATTTTTCTCGATGCCCTCAGCCATCACATGGATTTCTTAAGTTCCATCAGCAGCACTCCTAATTTAATTTAATAAGGTATTAATTAACCAAACCAGGCAACTGTTAAGGACACTGTTAAGCAAACACATCAACATATCACTATTACATTAACAAATTTACTATTTACTGTATTAACATTATTTGCATTTACTGTCATGTTTTTTCCTGAGCAAATAAACACTTACTGCCCGAGTAAATAGCTCTTAAAAAAAATTAAGGTGCCTTAAACTTTCATCTAAAAAGTGCATAAATGGAGAACTTCCTAAGTATTCACATAAATCTGGATAAAAAGAAGACAAAAAGCATCAAATCATTTGTAGTAAAGACAGATCCTTCCTTTAAACCTACTATAAATCGAACACACTCTCAAATGGCTCCCTATTCCCTATATAGTGCACTGCATAGGTCTAAATGAACTGTTCATCCAAATAGTACATTAAATGTCAGAGAGACACATATTGGATTCATATTGGCTGCTTGTCTCCATACTGGAGATTAAGTGTATTATTTGATTGTAAAAGCAATATGTTTGTGAACGTTTTCCTGTAGTGCACTATACAGGGAACAGCGGGCCATATGAGATTCATCCAGTGCTTTCAAAAAGACCCCTTTGTTGTAATTTTTTTTTAAACTAAAACTATTGACACATCCCTGTTACACCTTCAGACATAAAATCACTTGTATTAAAGAGAAGTGCCACTTCCAAGACGGTCCAAGACAATCTGTGGCTTTCTAAATTGTCCACTGGTTGATTTTTATGAATATTATTTTGTGATCTAAATGCTGCTGTACTATAGAAATTACATCTACAGTAGCAAATAAATCACGTGTAGAACGACACTCAATTATCAAGACGTTTATCTTGCTACTTCTGTTAACTAAGGACAGTATTCATATTTCAGCTTTCCATAAGCTACGAGCACTAAAACAGGTTACAGGACTAAACTGGTTTAACTGGACTTTATTAACCACACAGCAGAAAATACATGAGTTCTACTAACATATCTTTAAGCAAATGTGGGATTAGGAGTGAGCTGAAGACATTAATTGTTATTAACATATTTAAATATTTTTTTAAATAACGTTACATTAGCGAGCTGTGATAGGTTAGCTTTGTTAGCCGTGGCTAATGCGGAGGTCATTCCTGTCAGACTGAGCTCCCAAAACCAGTTCAGGAAAAATAAGACAGGGTTTTGCCAACATCACTACGATTAACTCATTAAAACACTGAGCATGAAATACCTGTTTAGAGCTTTATAGGCAGCATCAATGTTTCCATCCTGAACCATCACTGTCCGCGCAACGAAGCGAAGGTGGTTCGCCATGTCTGTGTTGTACTCCTGAAATCGGGGTGCGGGCGGAAACGCCGAGCAGCGAACAAGTGTTCCTCTGTGAAATGACGTCAACCCCAGGCTTTACTGTTAAACGGGGATTCCATCGATTTTTAAAAATTCTGCATAATTAAATTATATTCATAATTTAGAGTGGTCTGATGCGAGATGCTCCATTCTAGAGAAAATTACCAAGTCTGAACTGTTCACAGCAGTGGTGCAGGGTGATGTAAGGCAAAGTAGTCCCTAACTAACAATTACTGTGCCATCAGCATAGAAGGAGAAGTGGGAGAGGCCATTATTTATGCTATGAGAAATAATAAAATTTCACAGTATTTGACACATTTAGATACAGTAGACCGTAGAAGTCTCCTTTCACCGTGGAACAGAAATCATTTTAGTAGATCTCTCTTTCGCTCTCTGTTCTCCAGGAGGGTCAGTCAGACAGTAAGCTCAATGCTGAGTGACTGTGGGATCGTTATTTAAATTCAGCTGACTCTTTTTGACTCTTAGTGACTCTTTTTGACTCTTATTGACTCTTATTGACTCTTTTTGACTCTTATTGACTCCTATTGATCTGGTCACTTCGTACAGAGGCTCACTGATGTTAATGGGAAGTGTTCACAGAGTTTATGAAAACAGACTGAACTTCTGCCACAGACTTCATTTTGACTACACGTACCCTGCACCCTTCTCTTTTCTCTCCCTCTCTCTCCCTCTGTCCTCCTTTCCCTGTCTTCGTTTTCCAGGAGTATCAGTTGTGCCAGACATGCTGAAATTGAGCTGCTGAAATGCACTGGAGGACAGAAAGAGAGAGAGAGAGAGAGAGTGAGAGAGAGAGGTGGGGGTAGGGGGCAAGTGAGGGAGAAAGGAAGGTCAGAAGGGAAAGAGGGAAAAAAGGGGAAAGTTTTGGAGCGGGGGTGCAGTCTCAGTTTACACCTATGAGGGGCTGTTTAGGGTGAAACACTATGGAACACTGAAACACTTGCACACTCGCACATACACACACACTACTTGTACACAGCTATGAAACACTTGTATCACTGGTGTGTGCATGACAGTTTTCAGTGCGCAGAAGTCATTTCACTGTAACAGGAAGACAGAGTTTTACAAAATAAGTGGTGTGTGCAAGTGTTTCAGTGTATTTTACCCTAAACAGCCCCCATGTAAACAGCCCTCCATACTCCATAGCCCCCATACTAAACGACCCCTCTCCTCTCTCTCTTTCTCCTTCTCTCTCTCTCTCTCTAGCTTCTCTTTTCTCTTTGTCCACTCACACTCTTCATTCGTCTTTCATCTCAGTCAGGGTGTTTGAGCTCGTCTCTCTCAAACACTCTCCTCCTTTACAGACCACCTTTATGATCTCTTACACACTTACAAATTTCCTTTCATTTACCACCAAACATCTGACACTCTTTTCACCACCCTTCACTCTTTTTCATCCCCCTCTCCAGTTTAAAGATAATGAAAAACCCCTTCTGATGCATCGTGAAGGTGAGAGGAACGTTTGAGAACTACAAGCTGTCTGAGATGGAAAGAAGAGAGCGGTCTGTTTTTGATTTTTTATTTCCTGCTCTGTCGGATAGCTAACAGTACTGCTAAGAAGCTGAATATCATGTCTGTATTTATTAGCCACATCATTACATCTGCTTTTACTATGGTGGGATTCCCAGTGGTCCCAAAACATTTGTACACTGCCAGCTGGGAACTGTAGTGAGAGAAAATAAATGGATGACAAAAGATATAAAATCATGAATTCTGTCAAACTGATGGGAGGATGAGGGATGTGATGCTGCACTACACACAACCGAAGACTTTGTCAGGTCCTACAAGATATTGCAGATCTGAACTGGACAACAAGGAATGTCTGTTGGCAAATATTTAGATGTATCTCCACTTCAGTTTTAGGCCAATAGTTACGTTTCATTGTGGTTTTTGTCATGATATAGATCTGAATATTTCGTCTGTCTACACAGAAGCGAAGGTTCTTGTTGTTCTGATCTGGATCTGATTTTGGCGAGTCTCTTGAGGCTCTGAGTTATAACACTGAAAAAGTAACCGTGGACTCTCGTGGTGAACTTCTGGAAATTTGGTGGAGTTGCCCTTTTAAACACTAGCTGGCTGAATAACTGAGCGCTGGCCTGGAGTCTCCAATTGTCCTCCTCATTCACAGCGGAGTGCGGAGTCGTCTTTAGCTCAGCTCATTAGCACACTTTCCTATTGTGCGTCAGTTACAACGTGTTTACACCATGGATGCACAATGTCACTGTGCGGAGAGGAAAGAGTGACAGTGAGTGTTTCAGTGAACAGACATTGCAGTCCTCACTGTGATGTCCTCTGGCTGAGGTGACCGGTCATCTCAGACACTGAAGTTTATTCAGGGATCCTGAGAGGTCATTAAATCAAGCAGCACTGGCAGTGTGTGGTTTCCATTACACCCTGTGCTGTTCTTCTCCTCAGCTCTCTTCAGAAGCCTGAGGCAGATGGATTCTGTGCTGCGGCCACAATCGCCACACATCCGGTCTCTGTCTTTAAAACGTCTACATAATTTAATAACTGAGATATAAAGTAATTCAGATTGGTTTAATGTGAAATGGTTCATTGTAGAGAAACTTATTGATTGATTTCTTTCCAGTGGTGGTGATGGGAACCAGGAGTTGCCGTGGACACAACACAACAGCCATTTTATTTACAACCCAAACAGCCAGTGAACCTACACGTCCTCGGGTTATATCTGTAATGTTAATGGTATATCTGAAAATATAGTTTTCTCTGGACACTGTTTTGCCCTACAACACCTTACTTCTACTCTTCCACCAAGAATGGAGTGTTTTAGGCCAAAATCTCTATAACTGTGGTAAAACATCGTCTCCGGTATCAGGCAGCATGCTTGTCACTGTTGTGTGTAACAGTTTTCTGTTATTCTGTAGTTTTTGCTATTGCTTCAGACGTGTGGTTCCAATCACCGCCACTGTGAGCAGCTCAGACTCCGTTTTTCCAGAACAGAGCATCTCACTCCAAACCCCTCTGAACGACTGTTCACATCTTGACTATATGTAATGTGATTGTGCAGAACTTTTGAGAGAAAAACATCTGTAAAGCTCCCCGTTAAAAGCTCAGAACAGAAATCCTGTTTCAGTTTTAACATGGTTATAATGGGTGTCCAACATTTCTTTCCTGGCCCTGCTGAGAGTGTTCAGTCAACTCTAGAAGGACTAAAACAACAACTAAGCTATGAGGAGACATTTATCTCCCCTTTAGACAGTGAGAGCAGACTTCAGTAAAGAGACCTGAACACAGACAGAGAGATTATACACAGAGATAAGATCACTATCACTGCGGCTGTTTTGGTTTGAATGCTAACAAGCGTTAACATGTAATTCTAAAGTGTGTGTGAGAGAGAGACAGACAGAGAGAGATAAAGGGAGAGATACAGAGAGGAGGGGAAAGCGATTTAACAGCTATTTATAACAGGATGGAATGGAGTTCTTTCACTCTTTGTTAATTTTCCTCGGTTAACCGTTATGCTGAGAGAAAGCAGAGTGAAAACGGAGAAGCACATGGCGCGCGGAGCACAGGCCCCGCCCACCAAACAAAACCTGCGAGCCGCCTGGAGGAGTGAGCGACACTAAGAGTGAGCGAGAGAGAGACCTACATACACACAAAGGTACAGAGAGAGTCGATGTATGAAAGTTGCTGAAAGAAGGAGAAAGAAGTAATCGTGTGAAGCTCCGTAACTCAGTAACTCTGTCAGTGACCCGGGGTGAGTGTGAGATGGAGGGCAGCGTGGCGGACTTCTCCGGAACCTGGAAAATGAAAAGCTCAGAGAATTTCGAGGAGCTGCTGAAAGCGCTCGGTGAGTTTGCTGTTATGGACCGTCCTGCCTCACGGCGTTACTGCAAACTGGCTCATCTTCGGGTGGTTTTGTTCCCTTTTTTTTCTTTTTAATCTTTATATTTAAGAAATACACTCACAGAAGAAAAAGATGCTGGGCGCCTTTGTCAATTCTTGTACTCAGACATTTCATACTTTTCCTTCATTACCCTTTTTCTCCTTTCAAGAGGAAAATCACAGAGTGGTTTGATGTGAAATTCACTGTAGAGAAACTCAGTTTTATTTACAGTGGTACTGATGGGAACCAGGATTCAAGATGTCCACAACACAAACTTAGCCATTTTATTCACTCTCCAAAACCACCAGTGAAACTGTCTTCTGAGTGTTATATATGTAATATTGACGGTGGTAAATCTTAAAAAGGCCAAAACACTGTATATGTAACCATTTATTGTAATAACTTTCTGTGAAGGAGCTTTTAGAAGCATTAAACTCTTCAGACGTCTGGTTCCTATCACCACCACTGTGAACAATTCCGACTCTGTAATTTCCTCTAGAATAGAGCATCTCACATCAGACCGCCTCAGAATTAACTAACTAAATTATGCAGAACTTTTGAAAGAATCAGTGGAGTTTCCCTTTAAGTGGTCACTTTAGTCTGTTCTTACTGCTTCTCTTCTGAGTTCAATCTGTATTCAAAGTAATAGCAAATGGGCTAAATTGAATTCAGTGCAGTTCAACAGAGGCCTTGTTTTCTTAGGCTGTATCAGTTTATCAGTTTAAAAGGCTTTCAGGGCAGTTGTGGGGCTGTAGCTTCTCCATTGTAATTTAGATCACAGTTCACTAAACCTGGGGGATTAGGGTGGGGGGAGGGGGCAGCGAGACCATAAAAAGAGCAAGTAAAGGTTGATGAGCTTCAGGTAAATGCCTCATTAGGAACCACTGCAATAAGGAATTAGGACTGATTTGTTTCAGTGCTCATGGGTCAAGCTTTGGCCACCGACAGGACAGGACGAATGGCTCCTTCATGGTGAAATAGTAGAATTCTGTGTTTTTCTGGGAAAATGAGTTCCTCACTACACAGTATACTGAGCCCCCCCAGCTCCTTTCTTCTGGATCTCCACTTATTCGCTTTGTGGTCTCCATTCAATTTTGCAATGGCCTTAAAGTGAAATAAACTCTGCAGTGGAACCCCAGGCATGGCTAAATATTTATGAGTGGTTCAACATTTCCTTGATCTGAATTTGATTACTTCCAGAGAGATTCTGTGGAAATGCTTTCTGTCATAATTAGCGTGGGTGCACTCATTAAGGTCAGGAAACCTACCACAGGAAATAGTCTTTTGATCCGTCTGTGGATAAATGACTCCTTGTTCCTCCTTCTGTGGGGGTGTGTGTTCTGTAGGTGTCAATGTCTTCTTGAGGAAAATTGCAGTGGCAGCAGCGTCCAAGCCCTCAGTGGAAATCACGCAGCAAGGAGAGACGCTCTCGATCCAAACCTCCACCAGCGTACGCACCACCCACGTGTCCTTCACTGTGGGTCAGTGCTTCAGCGAGACCACCGTGGACGGACGACCATGCACGGTAACATCACACCTCTTTAAATGAATGCACTGCCAGCCAAACATTTGGATACATCTACTTATATAACGGTGTTTCTTATTTTTGCCACTGTCCACATCTTTGAATAATAATGCATGGATCAAAACTATGAAATAACACATATGGATTTATACAGAGACCAACAATGTGTTAAACAAATCAAAATATATTCTATATTAGATTCTATAAGAAATCAGATGTAGCATTTTGTCAAGCAGCTTCATGAACAATGTGATTTTTTGTGTTTGTTATAGAAATGAAATTCATTCGCATTTTGGCAGAGTAAAGTATCTTTAAGTATGTGACACAATGCATATCCAATTACGTGGCTTTTGACTGGTAGTGTGCATATATGACAAACATGATGAATTTGACAAGATAAAACAATAGAATAAAATAGAAAAGTTCTCAAGCAATACTTACTTTGCAAAAATAAATATAAACATTTTATTTCTGAAGAGATAAAAGACAATAATATGTTTATTAACATACACAACTGATTCTGAAAGTCAATATGAATCTCACTGATAGATGGGAGTGGAAGTGATATTATTGGTTAATATTATTTTTCTCTGCCTGCTAGTGGACAATGACATGAAATGACAGAAAATGTTTTAGAAATGGATATAAGACACTACATTTTGATGGAAGATTACAGGAAAACATTAATTTTGTCCTTTAAATGATGTTTTAAATGATTATCCTGCTTAATATGACTGGGAACATTAACTATCAAGGTAAAAAAAAAAAAAAAGGTCAGATTTGATCTGTTAATTTGTTGTACACCTCCTGCAGAGTTTCATGGCAGCTCTAATTACATCCACCTGATTCTCACATTTAGATGCTCCTGGAGGCTTCATTAGCTTAAGCACATCTTAAAATAGAAGTTTGCAAATAATTATAAATTAAGCAATATAAGAGACAGTTAGTAACAAAATCTATGAAGGAATATTTGAATATAAAAAATAAAAACTTTAAAAATCACAGCTTGCTTCAATACATTTGACCTATAGTATGTGTGTAATACTGCACTGCACTACATCTAAACTGTTTCTCATTTAGCCTATACGATAAGAAGGTGTTGGAGTTTTAGTCAACTCTGCTGTGTATTTTCTTTCTGTTCTTTCCCTCAGAGTTTCCCTAAATGGGAGACAGACAGAAAAATCACCTGTGAGCAGACACTGCAGAAAGGGGAGGGGCCTAAGACATCTTGGACACGTGAGCTGACCAATGATGGAGAGCTCATTCTGGTAAGCAAAATCCTTCAATTGATTACATGAGTGTAATTCACTAAATAGGACGTTCCATCGCATAGAAGTTGCTAACCATTTGCTAACCAACTAACCATTCATCTCATGAAATCATCTAAATATAGAAGTTCTCTAACACCTTAAATTCTGTCTATCCACCGAGAAAATGTAGTTACGTACCTTAAAACTTGGTTAGTCAAGTTTTCTTCAGCGGTTCATGGAAAACAGTTGCTTTCATGCAACTAAGCTGTGCTTACTTCATTTAATTACTAATGTATACTACCTAGAAGCACATCCATAAAAACTAGGGGCCACGTGAATGAGTTTTTAATACAGGGAAGTTGTATACTTATGGAGAGTCAAACGACCACAGAGATGCAACTAGGGATTTACTGTATTATTCTCTAGGGACTCTCAGTTTCACAGTGAAATACTGAATCCTGGCATTATTGACTCATCACAGCTGGTTTAGCTGGAATTTGGAATATGGAAATATTCACACCTTTATGTATATAGTTGCTGTTAGAACAAATCTTTTTACCTCTATTTTTGACATTTTATTTAATTAAATTTTTTTTTGCATAATTTGAGCTGCTGTTTACATTGTGTCAAAATGTCATGATGAACAGACCAGTATTAATGCTCCAAAATTACTTGGGGGGAAAATGTCATTAAATTAGATTGAAAGTTGAGAACATTTTTTCTTCCTTTTGAAAAGTTCCTGTTTTGGAGATTCAAGGTTTTGTTCCGACAGCTACAATAAGCTTATTAAGGTGTTGTAGTGCCATCAAGGGCTGAATGCTAAATAATCTTACCTTAATTTCATTGTAGTGAACATTGTGAGTGTCTATTACATTAGTAATCGATTAATTGAGAAGCAATAATTTTTATTAATTAATTAATCGAGTTTTTGAAAAAAACTGAACAACAAAAATAAACTGAAGTGAACATGCATAGACTTCTAAATACTAAATAATAATTAAAAACACAGTGTGGCAAAAAATGCCTGAATAGCTGTTCATCATGCTCTGTTTCTTACTGTAAAAGAAGACGATGTACTCGCAGAAAAAAAGGTTTTAAACAGTCACTGTTTTGGTGCCCTCAAAGGTACGTCTTCAGTACCCTTAGTTAGGGAACGAAATTGTACCATAATCCATTGCAGTAATATTTTTAATCTGTGTTGACTCCCACGCACCCCGTCTCCAGTCTTTTTATTTTATCGTTTTATATTTTAAAACATTAGGTAATGTAAAGGTACAAATATGTAAAACATAAAAAAAAACATAGTTATGACATACAGTTGGACATTAAAATTGTTGCTGTACCTTTAAGGGTACATTTACATTGTTTGTACCTTGATGAATGAAAAATGTCCTAGCACATTACTTTTTTTCAGTGCAAAAAAAATTGAAATATTATCATAATGTAAACTAATGACAGCTGATTCACCGAGAAGGTTAATTTTAGTTTATAATTTTAGGTTAATTTTAGTAATCGTGGGGGCTTTAATGTGCATGTTCTGTTATATTCATGAAGGTAAAAAGGTGGTGTTGTGGTGCCATTAGTTTGTATGCTAAATACTTTCATTCAAAATTTCATTGATTGTAATGCTGGTCTGTTACTAGCCTGTTTCCTTTCTCTCCTGTCTTTTAGACCATGAGTGCCGGAGATGTTGTCTGCACCCGTGTGTATGAGCGAGAGTGAGGGGTCGATCATACTTCTGGTGGTCAGCTGGCTCTTCTGGTTATCCCCCAGCCTTGATTTCTTCAGTTATTCCTTTATATGGTGGTCCATTGTCACAGTGTCATTGTGTCAGTGCGACAGCAAATATCTGCCGTTTATGTGTGCGTGGTGTGTGTGTGTGTGAGGTGACAAAATGTGTTGTGTGTGTCTCTCTCTGCTTCATGCTTGGATTTCAGTCCCCCAAGTGTATTTATTGTGAAGCGTTCGACAGTTTCTACCAGCTCACAACTGTACAAATCTGCCTGTGTTGATATAACCAAGTCTTATGACCAATAAAACATATTAATATTCATACAGACATGCACAGTGAAGTTTTATCTTCTTGTAAAACTGTTGGCAGCAGTGACGGTGAAGATCCCGTGACTGCTCATACTGAACTCACTAAATGACATGCAGATGTTTCTGCACGCTAAGTCACTGCTTATATAACAAAAAGGTCTTTTCTTTTTTTCCCTTTTTTCATCTCTCTTTTTTCTCTGTTTTCCTTTCTGTACATCTGCAATCATCAGTGCTGAAATAATTCTTATGCTCTAAAAAGTGAATTGTTTTAAAAAGGGAATTCCACCATTTTTTCTAATTTTCTGTACTATTACACCATTAAGATGTAAACACAGTCATTCAGAGTGGTTTGGTGTGAAATGCTCTGTATTCAAATTGGCCTGTTTGGCGTTACTTTGCATATGGGCTACAGTCTAGAAAGAATAAGAACAGACTAAAGTGGCTACTTAAAGGGGAATTCCACTGATTTTGTAAAAATCCTGCATAATTAACTGGTTACGATGCAAAGTCATTCAGAGTGGTTTGATGTTAAGTGCTCCATTCTAGAGAAACCTGCTGAGTCAGAATTGTTCACAGTTGTGGTGATAGGAACCAGACGTCTGAAGTGTTTAATGTCTCTAAAAGCTCCCTCACAGAAAACTATTACATGAAATGGTTGTGAATGCACTGTCTGATGCCTGAGATAATGTTTAATTTTAGTTCTGTGATAAGCTTTTGGCCAAAAATATATATTTTTAAAGTCAATTCATGGCAGAGAGGTACATGCAGGATATTCCAAAGCAAAATATTACCCAAAGAAGACATACTTGTTTGAATTTACCGCTAGTTTGCCATGAATGACATTACATATGCAAACTGAAGAAGAAGATGTAGGTGTCTCAGCCTCTGAATTATGCAGAAATTTTGAAAAGTCAGTGGAATTCCCCTTTAATCATGCCTCTCATTTCCATTCGATTAATCAGACAATGTACAGACCACTTTTTACCTTAACATGCTTTTACACCATGTAAGTCAGTTCAATAACGGCAGCACTGTTAGCTCTTTAATTTCCATGTAGGAATGAATTGAACTGCTCTTGACTTCTTCACATCTTTGCAAACATCTTTTCTGTTGTTTTTGTCCTCTTTCTCTGAGGTAACCGTCATCTGCCTGCTTTCCTTCTTTTGTTCCCTGAGCATTCTCCAGTTTGGACTGTACATAATAAATCCATATTTCTTGAACACACCCTGCTTTTTCCTAAAGAGTCTTGGCAGTGAGGTCCAGGAAAAACATGGGAGTGGTCATCGGGAAAGAGTGAACAAACGAAAAACAGAAAAATTATTTAATCATTTTGAGCATTTATATTCCCTCTGCTCATCAGCCCATCTGTACCTACTTACAGCGCTGTGAGGTCAAAGAGAACGCCTCTCATCGTCTCTCTCTCTTTCTCTCTCATCTCCTTCTCTTTTTCTCTCACTGTTTCTTTCACTCTCTTTTTATTCTCTCTTTATCTCTTTTTCTTTCTCTTAAGATATCTCTTTCTCTCCCCTTCACTCTTTCTCTCTTTTTTCTCTTTCTCCCTCTTTCTCTCTCTCCTCTTTTTCTCTCTCCCTCATTCTCTCTTCTCTTTTTCTGTCTTTCTCTCTACCTCATCTCTTTCTGTCTGACCTTTCTCTCTCAATTCTTCATTCCTTTTCATTCTCTCTCTCTCTCTCTCTCTCTCTCTCTCTCTCTCTCTCTCTCTCTCTCTCTCTCTCTCTAACATTCACAGTGCAGTGTTTGTGTTAGAGGGTTCTGGGTTGAGCTGCTCCTCCTCATTCTGCTCCATTCCGACAAATGATTAATGATTGTCTGCTACACAATGAAGTTTTAATAAGAATCTCCATAGCCAGTGTGGGTTCACCACTTTCTTCCCTCTCTCCTACAATCTTACCATCTTTCTCTTTCCCTCCCTCATTTTTTCACAGACACACATTATACAGTGTGAGAACACAGGATCATAGACACGTCTCAGATCTCTACTTTTGCTTTTTTTTGCACTGTAAAATCATTTGAAAATGTCAGATTCCATTTACATTGATAAATGGACTATTAAAATACTCAACATTTAGCTACAAGTAGATACATGTAATAATAATATGACCTATATAAATTATGTACATATAAGACTTTATATGTAATAATAATGTTGCATATATTATGTGTATTAGGGGTGCGGGAAAAAATCGATTCTTAGATGCATCGCAATGTGGGCGTGAACGATTCTGAATCGATTCACAAACGTCAAAAATCGATTTTCTAAATATTTAATTCTGTCTGTGACAGCACATGACAAAAAACACTACTGGATGAGTGAGAAATCCGACCGGCTCCCTCTGCATTAAAGCCAGGTTAGGTCAGGAGTCACAACTCAGATGATAAGAAGAGCCATTTTGTCCTTTCAACAAAAATCAGACCACCTTGGGAGCCACAACATTTAATGTCCAGTATGTGATGATGTCCTAGTATAGACTAAACAATATAAACGAGAGCACAGATTTACTTTGCTCTGCTTTAAGTTTCGCCTACAGCCGTTTTCCTCTCATTTTCGCCAGGACACTTTTCCTTAAAACTAGAACAGTTTCTTGTAAAATGTCTCTCATCGTTCGACTGTTTTACGAGGCTGAAGTCGCTTCTTATTCTCCAGCTTCGTGTTCGAATTTACCCGTTCCACCTTAAATTCTGACTGAGGCGCCGAATGTAAATGCGACACCATTTAAGATGGAGTGAGAAAATTCGGAAGAGAAGCGACTTCAGCTTCACCACTTTTTAATGTTTGACAGTCTCTCGATACAGATTTAACTTGCCAGGAAACCAACTGCGCTGCTTATAAATGCGAATAATGCATCGTTGCTATGTGACCTGCAGTCTGCACGCCAATTCTCAGTCGTTGCGAAACAGGGGTTTTGCGCAATGTTGCACACGTCACATCTCGAAGATATATTACTGCGACACAGCGACACCCCCCCCACAACGAGACCAAAACCGAAGTTATAAAGTCAGTAAAAACGGGTAGGACGGCTGTAACGCGCTGCGTGGACATCCGTTACCACTGGATCTTATTCCACCGTAACTGCGCATTTTATCACAGATGAGCAGCAGCAGCGTCTCATGTGCTCCAAAGGCAGTGAATGAGAGCCTTGTAGTTGACTTGCCACATCACTTCCACTTGATTTATTAATAAAAGATATTGGAAGTAAATTCATAATGGATCATTACAAATACTTTGCTTTAAAACTACCAAGTCCTCACACAGTGAGAAAATAGAAATGATGTATAGAAAAAAAAGATGCATTGAGATGCATCGATAATCATTTTATAATCGCGTCGCAGCCCTCTGAATCGTAATCGAATTGAATCATGAGGTGCCTAGAGATTCCCACCCCTAATGTGTATGTTAGTAACTGTATGTAAAATGTCCCATATTGTTGCTGTCCAAAAGATTTACCACTTTTTTCAACCATTTTTGTCAGTTTTTATTTTTCTAGATCGTTTGAACACAACAACTGTCCTTTACATTGTATCAAAAATTTATGATGAACGAACCAATAGAAACACTCCAAAATCACTTACAATGAAACCTTTGTACACAAACCTACATTAAACACTAAGAAAGTTTTTGGTTTCTCCTGTGTGTGTGTTTGTAGGTGTGTGTGTGAATGTCTCTATGTAATTATACACCGATCAGGCATAACATTATGACCACCTCCTTGTTTCTACGCTCATTGTCCATTTTATCAGCTCCACTTACTATATAGGTGCACTTTGTAGTTCTACAATTACAGACTGTAGTCCATCTGTTTCTCTGCATACTTTGTTAGCCCCTTTTTACCCCATTCTTCAGTGGTCAGGACCCCCATGGACCCTCACAGAGCAGGTACTATTTGGGTGGTGGATCATTTTCAGCACTGCAGTAACACTGACGTGGTGGTGATGTGTTAGTGTGTGTTGTGCTGGTACGAGTCGGACATATTACTACATAACAGTAAAAAACTATTTTAAAAAATGGTCCAGTGTTCAGATAATGCCTTGGCTTTAAATACAGGGTGTTTCTATTGGGAGGTATCTGTCCCAAAGCGTAACCCCTAAATTCCAACTTGTGAAAGTTTTTAAATGTCATTTTAAGAAATATATAGAAAGAAATATGTTTGAGGTTGAAATATTTAGATTTATATGAATTTAATTTAAAAAAAAAAAAAAAGTTTTAGTATGTACACTGAGCCTTATTTTAGCTATGCTAAAGCTGTGTTTGGTAGTCATGTGCTGGCTAGCATTTTTGAGTTATGCTCAAGATTAGCTGAAACTGTCATTACTGAAACATTTAGTAAAGTTTCAGCAGTGCTATGAATGTTTTTATAGTGACGAATGGAATGTTCAATCATGTGTTTTAATAAAATAAACACAATTAAGGTACCGAGTCACTCAAAGCAAAGGTCTAAGGTCCAGGTCAGTTAGAAGTAAAAAATGTTTTTAACCCTGACTTTGAGCCATTTTGGTAGAATGATCCATATAAGTGAGGTCTTATATGTCGGTTTTTCTAGGTCTGATCTGAATCCTAACCTCAACTTCAGGAGCCAGAATTTAATTTTGCTCTTTCAGTTTTATACAAATGAGATGTGCAGCTTTTATAAAAAGCTATGTACAAAAGTCAGGGCCACTGTGTTGGATCTTTTCTGATTTTTCTCCTGAAAGTGTACGAACATACACACTTCACACACACACACACACACACACACACACACACACTATCCATTCTCTGAGCTCATAAGTCTTCTAGATTTTCTCAGTCTGCAGCTGTGATGGTTTTTCCAGGTTGCCAGAGAGCAGAGCACACAGAAAAGCCCACTGAGACTTGATTCAAGGTTAAGGTTCCAGTACAGTGTGTGTGTGTGTGTGTGTGTGTGTGTGTGTGTGTGTGTGTGTGTGTGTATTTGTGTGTTTGTGTGTGTGTGAGAGAGAGAAAGAGAGAGAGAGAGACAGTGAGAGAGAGAGTGCAGAA